TTTCAAAGTATGGATAGAGCAGCGGTCAAAAGCGTTCCCCTAAGCCGTTGGTAAAATATTTTCTCTAATACTTGAAAACGTAAAAATTAATTGAAGACATTAAGTTTTTCAAAAGAATTCCATGAACCAATTTCTCGGAAGATACAGTAGTAGATCCTCAAAACCGCCAAAGATTTTCTTCGTACAGCTTACAAGCCGCATAGCTCATTACTAAAGACCAAAAATTCCATTCATCTGGCTTTCTATTAGCGTTTTCTGTCACATGCCAAAGTCAGCATAGATGTGCTCTTCACTCTTCCGCAATCTTCAACGACTACGATAGCTGTCGATCTCAATAAATAAGTAAACAGTGAACTATTATTTAACCAAGTCTTATGATGAGAATTATAATTTCGCGTAATTAATACATCTCTCGAAATGCTATTTATTTCCGGCGACCATATCGTTAACTCATTTGGATTCATTAACGTGGAAAACCATCGGTGAGCTTTCGAATTTGCGCGAATTTCACGCCTGGTGCAGCTCACATGATGTTTGACAAGGGACCGGCTTTTTATCAAAAACAGCCTCGCCGGATCCAATCTCTTGAATTTCGCTTTGAACTTTGGCTTCAACACTGACCAGCCACCTTGTAAAAAACAAAAACAATAAACAACAGGACGGCAATAATGACTGCTCACCAATCGGAGCTGATCAGTAGTAGCAAAAAGAGCTGCTGTCATGGTCGCCATCCTCATATGGAATTCCGCACAGGTCAACTGACGCTCAGAGGCACTGGTTAGTCAACGAGTGCTGACATCCCTCCTTGCCGGGCACGGAAAAAGGTTGGCTTCAACATCCACTGCCCTCTGCAGGCATTGTCAGATACTCATTGAAAGGCTTCCACTCTTCCGAATGAGTGAGCTATTCACAGAGCGTAATTCACAGAATTGATCAATCAGTAGCACTTCATTGTTTCACAAGTTGCCGCAGCTGATTATTCTGGAAATTTCCAAAAATACGTGTATCGATAGCTATAGAAGGATGCGGTTGTCAGTTTTACCCAACGAACTCGCTAGGGTGCCCAATTTCGGAGTACCCGACAGGAGGCCCGTCGCGCGGCAAGAAGGCAGAGTCGGCGGACGAGTCGCAGCGCGTGATGTGCGATGTAGGACGTACAATGGTACATTCTATTTAACTTGACGCGAAATCACGCGCTACTCGTCCGCTGACTCTGCCTTCTTGCGCGCGACGGGCCTACTGTCGGGTACCACTCAGTTTCTACTCCTAAGAAACGCTCTCAAGGTCTTCAACAAGATCGCTTTTCCGTCGTGCTCAACGATATGACTACAGCACAGTCTAGCTGATCGCAGCTAACCAGTCGTCACAGTAGTAGACTCAATTCTCGTGCTACAACGGCACTACCTATCCAGCACTACCTACTTGCGCTGGAAACAACCGTAGGCGACCAGAATAGGTTCAACATGTTCGCTGAGGCTCTATACATCCTTGCTATGAGAACTCGGCCTGAGAGTTTACCTGGTGCTATGGGCTTGAATTCATATATTATTAGGTTGGAAGGAAAGTTCCTTAACACTCAATTCGCGCTCTTTCTGGATTTCTCCCGAATGCTCTGGAATCTTCCATGGGTGGTATATAGTAGGAGTGGACCGTGCTACGTACGGTGATCAAATCAGCTTTCCCAATAATGGCGTTTGCATGGCACTAAATCAACTTTTCCCGCCAGACACTCCGAGCGCTCATTCTGTAAGAGCTCCGCCTAGAGAGATCTGCCCACCAGAGGTGGTCAGGATCAGTCCCGGGATAGGCCTGGGCACGTTCTCTCACATGGCGGTTTCGGCTTGGTTTAAACGCTCCGCAGCGAAGACTTTGATCTTTCTGACGCAACACACGACTACTGCCCATTTTGACGTTTGACGGTATTTCCCACGGGTGATGATCTGTCTGGAGGATTGACGAGTACAAGGGCTTCACAATGCTAGCTGCTCGAAAAGATTGCAGAAGAGCTTCGCCGAATATAGCGACAAGTCAACCTGCTTCACGACAACGCGCAACGTCGCGGGTGTTCGGTCTCAAGCCACAAGACTCTGAAGCCAGGCAGGACCGCGGCTGCCCGTCTGCCATATTCGTCAAACCTATCTATACACCTCTTCAACCTTTCCTGCTCGCTTGCTCATTACCTGGAGAACAGGAAGCTCGACGACGTAAACGAGCGCAAATCCGACACCAGAAGGTTGTTTGGCAAAAATCTTCCTAATTTCTAATTTCTGCGGTGTCACCCAAATGCCCGAAGGTTGGCGTAGTGTTGTTGTATCTAATGGTCAATATGTTATGGATCATTGAATAAATAAAGAATAAAAAAAATAAATTCAAAAATTGAGCTACAAGTGTTAAGGAACTTTCCTTCCAACCTAATAATTATATTACACTTAATTGACTTATATCTGTCGGGGCGGAGGCGAGCGGTCCGGGGATCAAATCCTGGGTCGTGAGTCGCACTTGCCAACCAAGCAAATGGTTTATGCTTTACGAAGTTATTCGTCTCCGGGGTCGGTTAATTGGTACCAGACTTGTCTGGGAGGATAAAAACACTGACTTGTACATCGGCTGGCCCCCGCAAGTCATTGTATAGGCCACATCGCATTCAAACGCCACTACGAATGTACAAATGGAAGTAGAATGCGTGCCGCATCCCAAAAAGGGATTGATCAACGGCAAATGCTTTATCCTTTATCCTTTTTAATCATGCAAAAGAAGATGATCGAAGGCATGGAAAAGTAGAAGAGGTATAAGAAGAGTGGCATTAACTCATAGTAAAGCGTCCTAAAGATTTTTCAAAACTTTTACTGTAATTAATCAATCTCTTTTTGGGATGCGCGCATTCTTCTTCCATTTGTACATTCGCAGTGGCATTTGAATGCGATGTGGCCTATACAATGACTTGCGGGGGCCAGCCGATGTACAAGTCAGTGTTTTTATCCTCCCAGACAAGTCTGGTACCAATTAACCGACCCCGGAGGGATGGAAGGCTTGGTTGGCCCGGGCGACTCACGACCCAGGATTTGATCCCCGGACCGCTCGCGTGGTAAGCGCGCCACTTGCCACTACACCACTTCCGCCCACGTATCTATAGTACGTGCACAAAAATATGCAGGAACGTTATACAGCGTAATGAAATCGATTTAAAAACTTCCACAAGAATGGGTTGTGAACAAAAATTTCGTGCAGATTCATGAAGTATAGCATGATTCATGAAGTACGGCTCAAAAAAGCCTCTATGGTACAAGTGAAGTTATACTCGAAAATGTCAGCAGTCTAGATGGACTGAAGATGCTTAGAGTGAAAAGTTCCCTAGTGCTGATAACTGTGCGTGGAACAAGCTCCTATCTTGCTTCTACCAGCGACTATCCACGCCAATGGCTAGAGCGCCCTCGCTCAATTGAAGTCCTTAGAACATGCCATAAATCCGGACTTCTTTTATTGAAGTTATAAAGAGTGTAGTGGCCTGATGAAGCCAAGAAAAGGTCCCTAAGTTCCAAAAGTCTAACAGGGAGTAGCACCCCCGAAACGTAGGAGTTTCCAGAGTGCATTGTGAAACTCACAAGAATACGGTAAAGGAGGACATCTTTGGCGCAGTACTGGTCTCGGGCCAAATTTAGCAGAAGAATAATATTGTTATATTCAGCAAATGTACGCTTTACTGTTACCTATTATTAGTCAGTAGAGCGTCTCTCAATCCTTGCTGTAATTTAGTGGAACGTTCCGCTTTCGTTACATCTTCTCAGGAAATGGTTGATGTAAAAGCTATTTTCCATAATAACATAGTGAATGTCAGGTTGCTAGGTATTTTTTGCCATTCTTACCGAATAGCATCACTTAAGTAATCGATTACTAGTCATAATGTTTTGCTGCAGTACTGCCTCTATGAATGTACAAGCTATACTTTCACTACATCTAATCACATTACACAGGTAGCCGCTTAGTTTGCAAATAAAATTACATCAAGAGGGGCAACTTCGCCAACAAAGTACGATTTCTGCTGCTGCACTCCTCATACTGGCATATATCTCGTAACTACTTGTAGACCACCAGCTTTTATGATCGCAATAAAGATTTAGAGTCGCATTTTTTCAAAAGATTTTGAGACCTACCCTACCACAAGCTAACTTGCGCGCAACACCCTTCCCTCCTCTCCTCCCGCTATTTGAACAGACAAATGTCAGAGCAGGCACACCATTGTGAATTAACGGCCTTTGCTGAACTACTGGTGGTCTGGAGTTTTTCAGGAAAATAAGAAACTTATGTTAATTTAGGTATATTTCTTCTGCCTGAGGTGGAGTACGGGCAAGTGGCGCCGCATACCACGCGCGTGGTGCGGAGATTAAACCTTGGATAGTGTCCCGTCCGCGTCAACCAAGCCTTTCACCAATCCGGGGATATAAGCGCTACCACACTTCTCTGGAAGGTAAGACAAGCTCCAAAAATAAAGCGCCCATCGGCTGGCCTTCGTCAAAGATAAAATCAATCATAGGTACTATGTCCGGTGTACGAATGCATTGTAATTTAGTTGTATTATGTATTAATATACAAATGTAATTATTTACAGTCTTGTAATTAATAGTAGAAATAGGACTTATTTTTATACCACCAAACAATAATTATTTAATAATGATAGATATTTTCGGGTCGAAACGCCGTCTAGTGGGGCGACCGTGGTGTTGATTTTGCTCTTGAAGCACTAAAGGCCAAGCGAGCATATCATGGATCTCCTGATCCTTTCGTGCTTGATCCCTGGCTACATGCTTCCACCTCCGTGACTCTGAATCCTCTTGCTTGGCTTATGGCCTTAATCCCTAGGCCCTTAAACGGCATTAATCCACAGCAGTGAGTAGGATGACTTCCCTCACAGGAAAAATTCCAAGAACTCTACTTTCTATTTATATATTCAGACTGAAACAGCGACTTAAATGTTACGTTTATTTATGAATCATTTTTCGAACTTAATTGAAACCGTTACAGCTTCGGTCTTGTAGCGCATTTGTAGAATTCGCGATGGAGCACGATTGCTCATCTCATCATAGCCATCATCTGTTCAGATTTGTTCTTAGATTTAGTTACTTATTTTTTCTCATTAATCTACTTATTTGTTTGTTTATTTACTTATTCTTGAGTTCAGAAGACGTGTGGCAAGTCGTGTATAAGTTAATATCATAGTCACTGTTGTTTGAACAAATGAAGAATCATAGCAAAACTACTATAAATAAAATGATTTGTTGTCCGAATCCAACTTCCTATAATTTTTAACTGAATTCTATTTTTTTATTTGATTAGTTTTTTTTCAGTGATTGAACCTGCCGAGGTTGACGATTTATTTGACTTCTGACATTGTCATCGCCTGCTCCAGAGCAGGGTCAACCCTGCGTTGCGCAAATTCCAAAATTTTTACGACCCCCTTCCTTTTCGGAGGGTATCGGTACGACCCCCCCGTATTAACTATTATGTCTTTCACATAATTTAATGCTCATCATTGATGTATGGGCAGTCACCAACATGGAGAAGTGGTGGACCGTGGTCAATCCGCGCGCTTTGTCTCGCTCAGAGGAGGGAATCGAGGCAACATGAAGTTTTATTCATTAAATAGAAGGAATTTCCAAATTTTTGCGTAAACCAATACATGATTTAATCACAAAGATTTCTACTTTCAGAAACCTACCAAGTTTTTTTCGATCTCTCAATTTTCCTTATTTTATAATCTGAAAAACTAAACCTTGTAGCAATTACGTTGCAATCCAAACCCCTCCATTCAGAAGGTTATATTTTTTTCAGAAGCGGTCTCATGGAACCGGACACCAAAATTTTAAAAATCAAATAGTTTTCTTCCTAAAAAGTATTTGAAATGTTGCGGATGTTCAATATTTCAAAAAATCGTCCCGTTGTTCCGTTTTTTGTGCACACGCGAGTTTTCGACATTCAAACATTCATAACTTTCTTCATCAACTTTTTGCAGATGTCTAAGGCTAATTAGAAACTAGAAGATTAGCGCTTTCGAACAAGCACCTGAAAATTTTCCAGCGATCATTTTCTCAAAAAATAGTCCCGTTGTTCCGTTTTTGGGGGGTTTGTGGTCCGATTTTTGAGAAGGCGCGAGTTTTCGACATTCAAACGTTCATAAATTTCTTCATAGCCTACTTTTTGCAAGTTTAAGTTTGTTCTGCTCACGGCCCTGACAGAGAAGGCGTTTTTGTGGGAAAACGCCTGCTCGGGTATACGCCGTGCACCTGTCTGTGGCAGAAGTCGCACTCGCATTTGAAAGTCCTCCATTTTCCTGAAGAAGGTGTTAGTATCGTGATTGAGTTGCATTGTACTGTTCATATGGTACTCTTGTTTCACTTCCCCATGAACTGCTCTACACTTTGTTCTCCTTGGGATTTCAGGAATGTTCGATCATCGAAGACAGACCATGTTTTTGCACTACGCTGTAACAAAGTTTTTGGCTATTGTAATCTTGATCTATGCTGTCGAGCGAAAGCGCCGTCCGTGTATTAAGGATAATAATGGCTGATAGTGAGACTTATAATGCTCTGCATGCTCTAATGCTCCCATGGAGCTCTTGTCTGTGTGACTCTCCGACAGCTGCACGGTGCAGAGCTCCTGGAGAACATTAGAGCGTGAAAGTGCACTCCCGGACACTGCACTTTTCAAGCCGTCTTGCAGCCCGTCTCTGTGGATACGACCCCCTCCCTTTTCGGTCGGCTGAATACGACCCCCTCGTTGTTCTTTGCGCAACGCAGCGGTTGACCCTGCTCCAGAGCCTAAGAATGTGTTTTGGAACTACTCACCTGAACGACGATGAAATAGTGTAGCTAGTGTAGCAGCAAGTTGTGCTGCAAACCAGGCGAGCGGTCCGAGGGACGTGTTGAATCGTGCGCTATCCAGGCCAACCAAGCCTTCCATCCCTCCGGGGTCGGTTAATTGGTACCAGACTTGTCTGGGAGGATAAAAACACTGACTTGTACATCGGCTGGCCCCCGCAAGTCATTGTATAGGCCACATCGCATTCAAAGCCACTACGAATGTACAAATGGAAGTAGAACATATGGCCCGTTCTAGAAGGGATTGATGACGCTGAAAGTGTTATCTTTCACTTTAATTTACTATTAGCCTGTCGGCCCTTTGAGGACACATGCACCCCACACTTCTGCAATCTTCTGTCTCCCTCATCTCTTATGCTCTCTCATCTCTGACTGTTTTCTCTCTCCTCGGCGTCCAGAATGTCATGTCACCCTGTCTGCGTCATAGGCTACACCACAGCCATCAAAGAACCATATACCTATGTTTCGACACACTTTTCCATTATTCTTGCTTGGCGTATCTCAATGTAATTCAATATAAAGGGCAGTCGAGTAAGTGCTCAACTTTTGATGACCTTACAGTGAGCTCATCATGACAAGTAGTATTACAGCATTACTGATGAGATCACAGTTTCAACCCGGATACATCATTTTTGGGAAGGTGCCAAGATTTCAGCCTCCATTAGCTATCCTCCTTCGCTTCAGTCGTGTTTGCACTGGGCTTACTATGGGCTTGGAGGGGCAGGTGGACACTCCTCATCAAACTTTCTAGAGGTTTGCATCTACACTATTCTACCATGTTGTCCTAGGTCGCTTATCACCTTATCACTTCCCTACAAATGATTATATTGTATTGAATTTGGCCGACAATATTGCAAACCTAACTTTTCATCCTCTGAAGGAAGAAATATGCCAAAGGCCCAGACGAACAGACGCGGTTTTCACCTTGTCTGCAATCTTAACCACTATTCAAGCCTATAGTGAAGCTTGAGGAGTTCTTTCGATGTGGTACAAAGGGCGGCACGTGGTGCGGCAGAAAAAAGTATAAGATTGCAGATGAATTGCTTTCGGAAACGAAATTATGTGATTCGTCATTCAAAGCCACACACCCATGCAATACAAGAAGCATAGCACATGAGGGGACCTAAGCGCCTAGTGCTGGTTCTGAACCCGCTTTTTTCATTTTTGGGCTACATAATGCGCAGAAATCCCATTCTGTTGTGGTCCGGACTCGCAAGTACTTGCGCTGCACACAGAGCACCAGTCAGCGATAAATGTGACAGGGTCATTTGTCTAGGCGCTGATGAGATAACCTCCACCAAAACGAGTTATCATCAAAATAATTGTTGTTCCAATTTTTGGACATGTTCAGGACTGAACAGTAGTAAGTAAAACTCTTTTTTTTTTGAAATAGTCGCATCCTCATTGTTTCCAAGACCGCAAAAGCTTTACCCTTATTGTATGTAGCCTAAGCGGCCACAACTGCAGAATAATTGGTGAGCTTGGTGATGCTCCCTCTCCACGGGTTTTTATGGTGCTTGATTTAAGTTGTTTAGTGCCTTTGGGTTTGCACTTACGGCACCACAAGTCACGGGGCAATAAAGAGCACGGCGGCGCTTTCTTTTAAGCTACCTTATCCACCGGTAACGGTTCCACAATTTCATAGGAGTGATTTCTGCGTTTCATTTAAAACAACACCCCCAGCAGGGTTTTCACCTTACACTAATGGTGTGGAACGATGCCCTAGTCAAGAACATAAAAAGTGTGACTGAACAAAAACTCACCTTGGAAAGCCGCTAGAAAGGGAGCTGAACGGCTTCGAAGTGGGCGTGGTTGGAAATCGGCGAGGGGATTGCAGCCGACTGAGCAACCACGCCCACTTCAAAGCTGTTTAGCTCCTTTGCCAGCGGCTCACACTTTTTTTGTTAGGCCACCTAACTTGCTCAACAAATCTTCTTCACGACATTTCTATTCTAGGGAAGACAACAATAATCGCGTATTATATGCGCCACGAATCTGATTTTTTTCTGAAATCAATGCAGCGTTTGAATTAGGCAGTTTTGATACATTCCAGTAATTCGTTAATGTCCGTGTCCACAAACTTCTCTGCCCCCGGTTAGCCGACTCGAAAGGAGGAACGGTCCGATGGTCTAGATGTGAATCATCCCTCGATCAACCATGCAGGTGGTTCCAAAACCACTTGTTACTGCCTCGTTTCACTGCCTATGCCGTCTTTCATCTTCCCTGTTCTTGTTTCATTAACTCTCAACCTTTTGAGAAAGCAGCAGCTTTTCAAGACGGTCAACAACGAAACACCTCAAGGAGTTTTTGCCAAACCCTAACTGAAGTGTGACTGCATCCAGCTCTTTTAAATCGAGAATATCACTGCGTTGCAATGATCTCACGTTAGCGTGGCCTCTGGTTTCTTATTTCAGCCTTGATTGCCTTCTTCTCACGAGCAACTTGATAAATGGACGAGTATTCTGAAGCTGGTGCGTGCACGTACTTATTTACCCCACTCGCTTTTGAGCTCAATAAGGAACGAACGTGTTTCCCCAGCACAGGGGGCGTGGTTGGTGCAGTGTGTTCGAGTTCACGGCTCATAGCCGTGCGTCAACCACTTGCTGAGGAAACACCGGCTACCTCACTGTTATGGATATTTTGTTCAGAAATGGCGGCTCAGATGTGAAGTCGACTGTGAATGAAATAAAAGAGAAAGAAACCACTGGGAGCACTGAATAAGGACCACCTTTTCCCTAGCCATGGAGGTTCTATGATGCAGACAGTGAGAGAAAAAACATGCTGAGCGTTGAGGAGGGGGAAAATATGTAGAAAAAAGAGCGTAGATACGAGCGAACGCGGCCTACAACGTCAACTGGCAGAAGGAGCCTCCAGTATTGGGAGGAACCGATGTTCATCCTCGGAGGCAGTGATCATGAATAGCTGCAGGTGCGGTTTTGATGACGCCATCGAACGTCACTGGTGAAAGGACCTCAAAAGCGGTCCTGATCACATCCCAACGCACTGAGGGGTCTAACACACCAATGAAGTTATCGAAGCCGCTCTGCTCCTGCCATCGTGGTCACTGCCAGTAGCTCTTAGCGTCACTGCTTGAAATTTTGCGTGGCGTAGTTAGTAAACTGTGCATGTTAACCTACATTCACCTACTCTCTAAGCTGAGGCTTCAGCGCAGTGACCTAATCGCGGGATATGCTTTCAG